TCCTTCACTGTTTCCTGGAGTTTGCTCAAACTCATGTCCATTGAGTCAATGATGCCATTCAACCATCTCACCCTCTGTGGTTCCCCCTTCTCCTCCTACCTTCCGTCTTTCCCAGCATCAGGGGCATTTCCAATGACTTACAGGCAGCTGGAAGCTCAAGTATCTTGTTCAGAGTACAGGGTGTCCCACTGCCCTCAAATTCAGAAATGTATAGAGGGTTGGTCTTAGTAAGGCACTGGCAGACTCTCAAATGCTCGGTGGCCCTGGCTCCTGGGAACGCGTTCAAGTTCCCGTGCATCAGATTAGTTCCCTTTGGAAAGTCTGAGAGCGCTCTGGACAGGGCTGGAGAATAATCCCACCCAAGCCTGGGGGAAGGACCAGGAGAGGAAGCAGAGGTCACAGGTGCTGATCGAGGTCTTCTGGGAGAAGTGAAGCAACGGGAAGGGGCAGGGACATCTCCTGGGACCCAGGTACCTTAGAAACCATCTAAGAAGGCCATCAGGGACCACAGGGAGATTTGGGATCATGGACTGGGTACTTTGCTGTCAGGCAAGCACCTGCTTGTTTCTCAGGACTCGCTTTTGTGAACCAGAGGGGCCTGAGAGAACAAAGATTCGTAATTCTTCACTTCTGCAATTTACATTTTTGGCAGGGCATGAATGACCACTGGGGAGAATGATCAGGCATAGTCTGGATACTCACGGTTACTCTCTTTTGGTATTTAGTAATGGAATCCCTTTCTAAGTGGCGCAAAGGCAATCAAACCTATCTATGCATGTTGTCATTGTTGTTCAGCTGCTAAGTCGTGTCTAGTTTTCCGAACCCATGGACTGCAGCACACCAGTCTTCCCCCTGTCTTTTGCTATCTCCTGGAATTTGGTCAGGTTAATGTCCACTGTGTTGGTGATGCTATCTAACCATCTCATCTCTTGCCACCCCCTTTCTCCTTTTGCCCTCAGTCTTTCCCAGCATCAGGGTCTTTTCCAAATAGTTGGCTCTTCTCATCAGGGGGCCAAAATATTAGAGCTTCAGCATCAGTCCTTCCGGTGAATATTCAGGGTTGATTTCCTTTAGGATTGACTGGTTGGATCTCCTTGCAGTCCAAGGCTGCTATGTATAGCAGGCTTTAAAGGAGAAATTCAGGAGGAAAAAAATCCCAAACTTGAATCATGGCAATATCATGGGAATACTTGTAGCCCCAGGGGGATGACTTTGGGTGCTACCTAACTCTCTGTACCCAGATGTCAAGTCAGTGTATTGAATCTTATTTTTCAAATCTTATTTACCTACCCACATAAGCTGTTTTTCAGAAAACTTAATAATCACATTTACATGCTTACCATGCTTGCTGGCATCAGGGTCTGCTCTATGCATTTCACATGTATAACTCATTCATTTTCTTAACAACCCTGGGAGGAATGGATTCTGCACCCTGCATTTTACTTGTAAGCAATTTGCCCAAGGTCATGCTGCTCTGAAGTAGAGGAAGTGAGGTTCAAACCAACATGGTCTGAGCTTGGAGGTTGGTTCCTAACCACGACCTCCACTGCTTCTGATGATGTCGTCTGCTCACAGGATATTTCTGAATTTAAGCTGACCACAAGCAGCCTTTAGAAACAGACCTAATTTACTGTTTAATCATTGCCTTCTTCCTGCCCTGGAGCTCCACTGGATGCTCTGATGCTTTGACTTAAATTTCTTAGGATAAGTGTATCTGTTAGGGTTCTTTTTTGGCTAAGATCATATAAAAAGGAGAATTTGTTAGAGGGATGTTGTGTGGATCAGGGAGAGGGAGGGAGGCTGGAGGATCTGGCCTAAAAACAGGATGAGAGGGGCCATAGACAGGAACCTTGTGTGTGGAGGAGTGCAAGTTACAGGGCCCTTGAGCTGGAAGGATGGGCTCCATTGCTATGAGATCCAGCGGGAAAAGGGGCCCATTGTCCAAGCTCAGGTTCTGTGTCCCAGTGGGTGTACTGGATGGGGAGAGAAAGGTTGTGATGGAGGGAGCCTCTGGATACCTCCACCTGAGGTAGAAAGTGTGGGGCTTTAGTTGTGGGGAAAAGGAACTTCTGCCCTTCCAGAGCAAGGGATGGGCAAGGCTAAGTGAGAATGGGCAGAGGACAAATCAAGGAAGAGACAGATCTGGAAACGATGATCATAAAACAAGTAAGTGGTGATGTAAGATTTAAACTTGGGTAACAGGAGAGAGCCTGGGGAGAAACTAAAAGGTCTAAGAGGGTGACTCAGCAGCAGGGTTCTTCCTCTTTGTCCTTTTTTTCTTCATGTTCTGAGACATTGCCTCTGGCCCCAAGTATACACGAGCAACTCTGAGAATTAAAGCTTGTTTATTTCCACATCTGGGGCCTCCCTGGATGGCTCAGTGGTAAAGAATCCTCTTGCGATGCAGGAGATGTGGGTTCTGTCCCAAGGTTGGGAAGATTCCCTGGGAGAGGAAATGGCAACCCACTCTGGCATTCTTGCCTGGGAAATCCCATCGACAGAGGAGACTGGTGGGCTACAGTCCATGGGGTCACAAAAGAATCGGACACACTTTAGTAACTAAACAATAATAATATTTCCATGTCTGCTGGCCTGAAAACTTTCAACTGAGGACCATTTTTCTCAAGTCCTAAATCTCATCTTCATATGATTTTGTTCCCCAGTATTTTCAATCCCAACTCATTGTACTTTTATGAGAGATTGCAGCAAGTATAGTTTATCTTCTGAATAGAAATGTAATTTCGGAAGCAGGCCATTCTCCTTGATTACAAGCAAAATCAAACTTAATATTAGTTTGGATTTATTTGACTGTTAATATTATTTACTTTCAGAAAACAGACTAACCCCAATTAGCATTGTGAATTGTCTGCCCTGTAATGACCAGAGATTCCTTTCTATTACATTACTGAAATCATTTGCATAGTAATTATGGTTTAGCTATATTGGTGAGTGAGATTGTTTCCCTTCTGGTAATGTTGTACGATGGTCTCTCATTAATCACGTGGAAAACCTTGCCAGATGGCAGAATTAAGCAAGTATAGTAATATACTCCCACTAAACTCATGGTCATTTGAGGTTCGAAACCAATGTTTCAGTCTGCTCCCCCATCTTCCCTTAAATGTGTTTTACTTTCTAAACCACTCATGCAACAGAAAAACAACTTAAGTTGCAAATGTGATTGGTCTGGGGAGCTTTTATTTAAAAATTCAGTAGTGCAGTTTGGTGCTCTGTGATTACCTGGAGGGATGGGGTGGGGGAGGGGAGGGAGGGAAGGGATGTGTGAATAATAACGGTTGATTTGCATTGCTTTATGGCAGAAACCAACAGACGTTGTAAAAACTAAAAAATTTTAAAAAATTAAAAAAAATTAAAGTGAAAGAAATAGAAAAAATTCAGTAGTGCAAATTATGCATCTTGTCTTCTCCACTCTCTCTCCCTCCTCCATTATTATCAACAGAGCTTGAAAGCAAATATGACAGGCTATCAAGACAATTGAGACATATGTATCTGGGTGTGTGTGCATGTGTCTGTGTGTGTGTGTGTGTGGACTTTGCTCTAAACAAATGTAGCATAGGAGAATCTGAGTTTGCTTAATAAAACCAAACAAAACTGGGACTTAGATTTCACCTTACAAAAGGACTGTATTTAAAAATGTCTTTGAACCACCAGTGCCCTGGATGCAATCAAAATACCATTTAGGGACTTCCCTGGAGGTCCCTAACAATTAGCTTCCCTGGTGGCTCAGAGGGTAAAGCATCTACCTGCAGTGCGGGAGAACTGAGTTCGATGCCCTGGGTTGGGAAGATCCCCTGGAGAAGGAAATGGCAACCCACTCCGATACTCTTGCCTGGAGAATCCCATGGATGGAGAAGCCTGGTAGGCTGCAGTCCAAAGGGTCGCCAAGAGTCGGGATGCGACTGAGCGATTTCATTCATTCATTCATTCTAGAGGTCCAGTGGTAAAATATCTGACTTGTAATGAGGAGGACACGGGTTCAATTCCTGGTCAGAGAACTAAGATTCCACACTCGGTGGGGAAAATAAGCCACCACATCATAACTACTGAGTCTTCACGCTGCAATTACTGAGCTCACACTCCACAACCAGAGAGTCCAGGTGCTGCACTGAAATACCCCACACGGTGCAATGAAGATCCAGTGTGCTGCAACTAAAGACCCAGTGAAGCCAAAAAAAATATTATTTAATAATAATATTATTTAGTATCTAGTGTTTTACAGTTTTTAGAAATTGATTCAACAAAGAATCTCAATTGATGTACACACACACAACACACATGTGAACAGAGTCACAGACGTGCACACATCACCTGAAGTTTATCTGGGACAGAACGGTATACGGGAAAGAAAGTAGGCGAGGAGCCAGGCAGCTCTGGTCCATCCTTGGCTGCGATTGCATGGAAGTCATTCTGCTTGAGCACTGGTTTCTCATCTGTGAAACAGCTGTAACAGTAGCCTGCTGGTATCAGCTGGGATACAGGGTGAACACCTTGGGCTTCCTAGGTGGCCCAGGGGTTGAGAGTCTGCCAGCCAGTACAGGAGACACAAGAGACTCAGTTTCGATTCCTATGTCAGGAAGGTCCCCTGGAAGAGGAAAAAGGCAACTCACTGCAGTATTCTTGCCTGGAAAATTCCATGGACAGAGGAGCCTGGAGGGCTGCAGCCCATGGGGTTGCAAAGAGTCGGACACGACTAAGCTCGCACACCAAACACCTTAGCAGAAATCCCCAAGACAGTGCCTTACGTAAGACATAGGGATGTTATTCCCTTCACAGGACAGCCGAAGTCAGCTACTCAGCCTCCTTGCTGCTCCCCATCCCTGTGTAGGGGGACGGGTACCCTTGTGCACAAGATCCAGGGCAGGTCACTACCACGGCTATGTTCAAGCCTGTAGGAGAAGGAAAAAGGGAAGGTGAGGGTGTGCCCCTAGCTCTTAACAGCCTATCTGGAAGCTGCACAATCACTTCTGTTCATGACTATTGGAGAAAACTTAGTTACTTAGGTAGCCCCATCTGGCTGCAAGGGGAGTGGGACATATTCATCTTCACTTTGGTTGTCCACGTGCTCACTTAGAACTAGAGAGGGTTCTGCTACTAAGGAAGGAGTGAGAATGGAAACTGGGGCATGATGAGCAGTCTGCCACCCCACCTCACATGGCAACCAGGAAAATTAAATGAGACCATAATACCTGGAACAGTCTACGTTCACAAATCATAAAGCCCTTTGCACACTCATATTTCTAACAACCCCATTATAATAGCCAAAAGGTGGAAGTAATCCCAGTGTCCATGGATGAGTGAATGGATAAATGAAACATAGTGAATACAAACACAGTGGAATATTATTCAGCCTTGAAAAGGTAGGTCATTCTGACCTACCTAACCTGTAGGTAGGTCTACGGCATCAAGGAACATTGAGCACATTATGCTAAGTGAATTGTCAGTCACAAAAAGAAAGAAGTACTGTATGACTCCACTTACATGAGTTACTTAGGATAGTCAAAATCATAGAAATAGAAAATAGAATGGAGGTTGCTGGGAGCTGGAAGGAAGGGCAATGGGGCATTTTTAACAGGAAGATAATTTTGGTTTTATAAGATGAGTCCAGTGGGAAAATTAGCAGCCCCCACTACATGTCAAGAAGGGTTCCTTCCCTAAGCACTCAAGAGTCAAGGCATGGCTTACATTCATTATTCCTAATGCTGTTTCTTGTTTGTTTATTTTTTCAGGGAGCTCATAAGATAACAACACAAAAATAACAATCTGACTCCTTATCTATGTATAGCACTTAACAACAGTTTGCAAAACACTTCTGGATATAGTGTTTCAGTCAAGAGAGGTGATTCCTGCATGAAAAAATGGTGGTATCTCATAAACACAAAGACCCGTCTAGTCAAAGCTATGGTTTTCCCAATAGTCATGTATGGATGTGAGACTTGGACCATAAAGAAAGCTGAATGCCAAAGAACTGATGCTTTTGAACTGTGGTGTTGGAGAAGACTCTTGAGAGTCCCTTGGACTACCAGGGAGATCCAACCAGTCAATCCTAAAAGAAATCAGTCCTGAATATTCATTGGAAGGACTGATGCTGAAGCTGAAGCTCCAATACTTTGGCCACCTGATGTGAAGAACTGACTCACTGGAAAAGACCCTGATGCTGGGAAAGATTGAAGGCAGGAGGAGAAGGGGACGACAGGATGAGATGGTTGGATGGCATCACTGACTCAATGGACATGAGTTTGAGCAAGTTCTGGGAGATGGTGAATGAAAGGGAAGCCTGGTGTGCTGCAGTCCATGAGGTCACAAAGAGTCGGACACAACTGGTCAACTAATCGACTGAACAAAACATAAACACAAAGGGAATAAGTATTAAGAAGAACTTGCTGAAATCTGGGAGATGGAGACATAGAATGGAGACATGGTGAGATCCTTGGTCCTCAATGGCGTCACTGAGTCACCGAACGTGCTCCTGCCTGAATCTTTGCCTGTCCATGGGCCTCCATGTCTCTTTCCTTCTTACCTAAAGCAGTTGAGTTTGGTCCTCAGATATTTACAGCCAAACCCTTCCTAAGTGATGCAACTCTTCCATCACAGAGATTTTATCTGGGGGAATCCTTACCTGGGTGATTTACTAGAAGTAAGGAATGTCTGTGGGGCAGGTGAAAAGCTAGACTATCTTTACAACAAAGTTAGCAAGTGGTAGAAATGGCATTACAATTATTTCTGACCCCCGCTTGGAGTCCTCTCCACTACCACAGGAGTGGGCAAGTGTTCACATAAAGTTCTAAACAGTAAGTACTTCAGGTTTAGAAGCCTTAGGTTTCCGCTGCAACTACTCAGCTCTGCTGTTGTAGCAGCAGCAACCAAGACATTATGCAGATAATGGATGTGCTATAATCCATAGATGCTGAAGATGAATGAGGAATTCCATTTCCAAGTCTCCTTGATTTCTTTGGCCTATTATACAACAATAATTTTGAAAATAATATTTCTATATATTCCATTAGACTGGGAGTTAGATGTGGATGTGAGAGTTGGACCCTAAAGAAAACTGAGCACTAAAAAATTGATGCTTTTGAACTGTGGTGTTGGAGAAGACTCTTGAGAGTCCCTTGGACTGCAAGGAGATCCAACCAGTCCATCCTAAAGGAGATCAGTCCTGGGTGTTCATTGGAAGGACTGATGCTGAAGCTGAAACTCCAATACTTTGGCCACCTGATGCGAAGAGCTGACTCATTGGAAAAGACCCTGATGCTGGGAAAGACTGAAGGCAGGAGGAGAACAGGATGACAGAGGATGAGATGGTTGGATGGCATCACTGACTCGATGGACATGAGTTTGAGCAAGCTCCGGGAGTTGGCGATGGACAGTGAAGTCTGGCATGCTGCAGTCCATGGGGTTCTCAAAGAGTCGGACATGACTGAGCGACTGAACTGAACTGAACTGAACTAGGAACCTTAGCTTACTGTGCTGGACTTCTGACAACTTGCCTTGTGATCTTGGACAAGTCTTTTAGCCTCTCAAGACCTCAGTTTCTTTACCTGCAGGTTGAATGAGCTGCATACAAAGACCTCAGAGGTCCTTCCCAATACTCAATTCCCCCTTGTTTCTCTTCTTCATTAGAGAGTGAGTTCATGGAAAGCAGAGACCGCCTGTGCCTTGTTCACCGATTTATCCCAACAATGAGCACACGTGGCACAGAGCTTGGTAGGCACCCGGCTAAATCTTGCGGAATGCATATAAGCAACTCCAGGTCTGATTCCTGCGGTGGCTGGTTTTCTCTCTGTAAACTAATCTCTAAATTCCCTCCATTCTTTGGTTTCCGTGGTATTCCTACAGAATAACATTGGAGTGAGTTCTAGAAGTGGTGTCAGAATTGGTTCTTTTCTGTTTGTATCTTCGATAACTACTCTGAGCCTCAGTTTCCTTATCTCCAAATTAATAAAATGATTTCCACTTCACAGAGCTATAAGATTGAGTAGACTTGATCATGAATGTGAAAATGCTTTAGTAAACTTAAAAGATATATACATGTATGAGTTATGGTGATAACAATATTGATTATTGTAAAGTTCTTGGCATGAACAGTGAGTACTATGTTTAATTTAATTTTATATCTATTAATAATAAGCATCTTGAAGTATTACAGAGGGGTAATGATGACAACAATGTTCCCTAAATAAAAAAAAAGACTGCCTCTTCAGCCAAAATGTGACTATTGGAGACTATAAATAAATTATTCCTTTCTATTCTCATGAAATATTCAAGAGAACCACTAATATTATTTTTAATTCAGAACAATTGAAAGACAATGAAAAATTCTAGGCTAGATTCTGTAAAGTTAAAGAGAAAGAAAAATCAGTTATGTTAGCGTAAGAGAAGTAATGGTAGAAAATTAGATATTATTTAGGAAAAACAGTATATTTTAAAAGCCATTGGCAGTAATTCAGCTCAATTGATGAATCATAAAGTTGGTGACAGGTCATATCACCCTTCATACATTGTCCTGCTAATGTTTCAGATATAAAAATATCTACTAGAATGATCTAAAAAAGGATATATATATATTGGGCTTCCTTTGTGGCCCAGCTGATAAAGAATCTGCCTGCAACGTGGGAGGCCTGGGTTTGATCCCTGAGTTGGGAAGATCTCCTGGAGAAGGGTACTGGCTACCCTCTCTAATATTCTGGCCTAGAGAAACAAATAAAAAGAAGAAATAAGTAATGAATCTAAAAAATCTTTCAGGTAAGATTGTGTGTTCTGTGCTCAGTCGCTCACCTGTGTCTGACTCTTTGCGACCCTATGGATTGAGAACTTCACAAAATGTAGCAAGTAATGTCATTAGATGGTAAAAAGAAAAGTTTTTGAATACAGCTATAAAAATTTAAGCTGTATCTCAGAGATATTTATTTAAGCCAATGGAGAGAGAAAGTGTAGGTTGACTTATTAAGACAATTTTACCATCAGGATGCTTTTATTGCAAGGAAGAAATGATATACATGCATTGTGTTTACACTGGGCTTCCCTGGTGACTCAGTTGGTAAAGAATCCACCTGCAATGCAGAGACCTGGGTTTGATCCCTGCATCAGGAAGATGCCCTGGAGAAGAGTATGGCTACTCAGTCCAGTATTCTTGCCTTGAGAATTCCATGGACAGAGGAACCTGGCAGGCTGTACCGTCCATGGGGTCTCAAAGAGTTGGACATGACTGAGTAACTAATACACTTTCCATTGTTTTTCATTTGCATATAATTTCCAAATGGAGGGTGCATCAAGATTGAGTATATCCAGATTAATGAACTAGGTTATCTCTGAAAGGCCCATAGGATGAAATTTCTTATATTGAATCTCATTTTCAGTGCTCTCCATTATGTAATTGGAGACTTATTTTGATTAAAGGCCAATAATTCATTCAACAAATATGTATTCATTTCCCACAGTTTGCTGGGAACAAACAACATGGAGATAAAACAGCAAACATGATTCGGGAGCAGGGGGACTTACTTTCCCAATACATCTTGTCTCATTTATCCACTCTTGGGGCTATTTATTTACATTGGATGGCTAGACTTCCTCAGGATCAGAAGTTCAGAGGAGAAAAAGCCAGCCATGGCCCCAGTTTTCTTGGCACTTACAGGCTAGTGAGAATAAGCAGCCATCAACTTACTTACGACTTACCATGTGCAAGGCACTACACGAACAAATTATGTTCATAATATTTCTTACCACACTGTGAGGGTGATACCATCTGACAGAGGAGGAAATCAAGGCTCAAAAATGGCGAAACAACCTGCCCAAGGTCATAGAGCTCACAAGTGGCAGACCTGGGTTTTGAACCCAAAGCCTACACTCTTACCTACTCTGCAACACCACTTCCTATTTCTGGAACTATTTCTGGGAAAGAAAAAGAATGAAGAAACTTGGTGGCTGGTATAATTGCTGTCTTGGATGCAACAGACAGGGAAGAAGTGAGAGGGAAGGCAAAAAGTTTGTCTCTGAAGTTGAACATCTATTGAACATCATGTGTTTACCTGGTGGCTCAGCTGGTAAAAAAATCCACCTGCAATGCAGGAGTCCTGGGTTCCATCCCTGGGTTGGGAAGATACCCTGGAGAAGGGAAAGGCTACCCACTGCAGTATTCTGGCCTGGAAAATTTCATGGACTGTATATTCCATGGGGTTGCAAAGAGTTGGACACGACTGAGTGACTTTCACTTAGCTTCATAATGATTTACATACACTTGTTTAATTCTTTCAATATCCTTATGAATTGGGTAATCTCATTTATAGGTATGGGATTGATTGTTTTTCATTAAAAATTCTTGAACTTGGTTCAAGATGGTGGAACAGAAGGACATGTGCTCACCTTTTTTGAGAACACCAAAATCACAACTAGCTGTTGAACAACCATCGACAGGAGGATGCTAGAACACACTAAGTAATTCTGAAAAACTGCGTATGTTTGATAAAACTAATAGGGGACTGCTTTTCTCTTGTAAGTTTGGTATTGACTGAGGAGTTCAACAGTGTCAGGGTTGGCATTTGTGCAATTATTTTGGCTTTTCCTCATGACTGCAAGAAGGCTGCCACAGTTTCAGCCATCTTGACTGCATTCAAGACAAGAGGAAGGAGAAGGAAGGTGGTGCTAGGTTAATTTTTTTTAATTTTAAGAGTAGAATATTCCCGGGAAGCCCCAAAAGACTTCTACTTACATGCCAGAACATTCTCATGTGGCTACATCAAGTCGCAAGGGAAGTTAGGAAAGTGATCACTAGCTTTTCAGCCATTGCAATGAAAGATGTAAAAAGAGACAGGAGATGAAAATAAATACTAGGTTGGCTAAAAGTCAGTGTCTGCCAGAGTATACCAGAGAGACAGAGTAACTTATGCAATGTCATATAGCCATTCAAACTCACACCCGCTGACTTCCAAAGTGTACACTTTCACTCACTCACTGATCCTGGTCAAACTGTCCTAACAATTCATGGCAATGCTTTATGGGGAAATTGATAGACAAGACAAAGCCAGTAGCCATTCACTCCATAGCTGTAGAGTTATCGTCCTGAGGTTCTCCACGAAGGGACCACAAGAGCAGGTCTAGCGCCTGGATTAGACCCAGGAAACATCTGGCATGGGTGTGTCCACCTCTCCAAGGTATCTACCTCTCATGGAGTTCTTCCTGGTTAGAAACTCATTTCCCAAGCCAAGGTGAAGATTGTTAGAACTAGAGAAGAGAGGCAGTTTAGGTAGAAAATAATAACTAATATTTATAGAGCATTTAGCATCAGGTACTATTCTAAGGGCTTCATATTGGATATCATTTAATCCTTGTGACAACCCTATGGATAGAAATGCTCATTATTCCACTTTTTAGAAAGGGAAAGACAGACACAGACTGCCCAGCGTCAGCTGTACGTGGTAGAGCTGAAACTCCAACCCACCTTCTTAGCCACTGTGATTTAACTGCTCAATGCTGCCCACACAGGATGGGGCTTTCTGGGTGGCTTAGTGGTAAAGAATCCCCCTGCCAATGCAGGAGACGCAGGAGACACATGTTCAATCCCTGAGTGGGGAAGATCCCCTGGAGTAGGAAACAGCAATCTGCTCCAGTATTCTTACCTGAAAGATTCCATGGACAGAGGAGTCTGGTGGGCCACAGTCCATGGGATCACAGAGAGTCTTACACAACTGAGCAGGCAAGCACAGAGCTATTTACTAGCCAACGCCCAGGCGGGGTAGTGGCAGACAGTCTGAGAAACCGGACTTGTCAGGGAGACTATCTCCTCCAGGAAGTCTGGAACTTCCTTCCAGGTCTGGAACTTCCTTCCACAGCAGACAAATGCTGTCACATCCCGATAGTAAGACTTCACATCCTCTTTTAATTAATCAAATTTGTTTAACTCTCAAGGCAAGGCTAGCAGTAGGTCTGGAAGGAGTTATGATCGTCTGAGTAAAATTAAGTCAGTTTCACAGCATCACACAGGCAGCAAGAGGGAGGAAGGAATGCCCTGTGGTTCTATGTGAGGCACACTTCGCACTCAATACAGCAGCCCGTGAATCTAAAGAGCAAGCGCAAACACACATGGGGAGAGGCATTACAGACTCATGAATGTGACCCATATCAAACCAGAGTGATGGAGAGACGGGACACCCCGGCTAAGGAAGAGGAGGGGACGAGTCAGCAGAAGCAGGGATACTGGAGAGATCAAAGACAGACTTCCCCAGTTTCTAACTTGGCTGGAAGAAGTATTGACAGTTGCCTGGATGAGGGCAGGTGTGTGTGTCCACCGCCTACCCCCTTAGGCAGGCACAGCAGACATAATCAATTGATTGGACTGGGATCACAGCACTGACCTTGATATGACGCTCCAGGCAAAAACTACCACCTGCATGTTGTTCTGTGAAACCACACCGAGATGCCATCCCTCCATTAAAGAGTCAAAAGCTGAAACCTGCATTCTCAGTCAAGAAACTTACAGAGAGAGATCTTGGATACTTACCAGATATATCCTGAGAGCTCTTGGTCATTTTACTCGAGTATCTGAGCCTCAATTTCCTCATTTACAAAACGAAGACAATAGTGCTTACTTCACAGGGCTGTTGAAGGATTTAAAACCATAATCCC